CTATCTCCTGAGAACTAAAGACCAGGCATTCCAGGCATTTCAATCATTTCATGCAATGGTGGAAAGGGAAACATATCAAAAACTGAAGTGTCCCTGATCCGACAATGGTGGAGAATATACCTCAAGAGAGTTTGAAGGATATTACTCTAACCATGGGATCAGACATGAAAAAACTATTCCTGAAACACCATAACACAATGATGTGGTTGAAAGAATGAATCGCACTATTGTTGAAAGAGTGAGAAGCACGCTCAGAATGGTGAAACTGCCTAAATCATTTTAGATTGTGCTGTTTATAACAAGTGACATTAAAGCACCCGGGCACCAATAGTGTCATGAAGGAAAGAATTTTTTGTGACTTGGTCGCCTGGGGGGGAGAGATTAACCTTTTAAGTTGACATGAATAAAGTCGAAACCTCATGTGAAAATGCTGAAAATTTATCCAGTCCGGTGACCAGATAGATACATTTTTTTTTGTTTTTATTTCTAAAGCAAGCTCTCTCTCTCTCTCTCTCTCTCTCACACACACACACACACACACCTATTTTTGTCAGGTATTTTGAAAAATATTACTTTATGAATGTATATTATATATTAATAACTTTGAACATAAATTATTATATATATATATAAAACTGTCATTTTTTAATTTAAAATTCTTTCCGATACGAGAATTAAACTAAAATTTACTATACTTTCATTATTCTCAGCATCAAAACTCTTAAGCATTTATTTGTAATAAGTTTAAATGCCCGTATGCCACCTTTTTAAGGTAAAAATGGTTATAAATTTTTTTATTATTTTATTCAAAGGTCAAAATTAGCATTTCGATTAAAGTGTTGCCTTTATTATATAATTGATATTTTTTTTTGTAATAAACACATTTCTCTATAAATCCAAAATCAACCTAATGGTTATAATTTATGATGATTATTTGTTTTTTCAAAATAATTAAAATTAACCTAAGAATTTCATAATAATTTAAGAAATAGAAAACTAGATAAAAGTAAAATGAACAAATACTTAATACATTTTTATAAATAAAATATAGGGGAGATTTATATTAATAAAAATTTATTTATAGAAGTACATTAAATGTTTTGAAAATAGATTTTATTCATAGATGGACAAGAATTTTGATGTAGAAAATAATGAAACATAATAAACTTTTATTAAGTTGCTTTTGTAATTAAACTTCAAATTAAAAACCAAATAATTTTATTCATCAATTAAATTTTCATTTAATTAATTAATCCAAATATTAAACCCAAACTATTTTCCAAACTAATTAATTATTTTCCTCGTCTGGCCTTGGTTAATTATAACATTTTCAATTAATTTAAGAGCCCAATCAATTGGTTCAATTAATTATATATTTCTCTAACTCGAGCCAAATTTATTAAATAGATTTTTTATTTAATTAATCAATTTAACTATTCAAATTGATTAAACCTTAAATAATTAATTAATTTACTTATCTAATAATTGGATAAATTCTCACGCGTTGTAATAAGCTTATTTGACTTTGAGTGTGGCCATTTAGGTTCATAATTATTTAGCAGTAAACCTACAACTCTTGTAATTTAACTTGCGAATAAATAATTAATTCGATTAATTAATCCAATTAATAAACATTATTTCAAGGGTATCCATAGCTTATGGTGTATGTTTAGTAATATCATTATAGATATTTAGAAAAAAGTGAAGTCAATACTAAGGTTTTTCAACCTTCCCTACTCAGGTTTGGTGGAGCTGAACTCTTGTTATTATTATTGTTGGTAGCTATTAGTTTGGTAGACTTTTATATAGACCAGTGGCGAGTTTACAACATTGACAGAGATTCTCTAATAATTTTATAACCAAATTTGTTTTGCACCATTCACAAGTAAGAAATGATATTCTGATACCAAAATATAATCAATAATTTCAGGAATGCAAACAATATCCAAACAAATCACAAGACAAATAGTCAACGGATCCAAACTTAATCAATCAAATATTAAGGAAAAACTGAACTAGATTAATCATTAGAAATAAACCTTCTTCACAATTTGTTTCAGGAAAATCTTCAATATAATCCCAACAAAAAATTAAGAACAAACTTGAATCTCGTCACACCAATCAATCCTATACTGTTAGAATCTCTAACTATTTATCCTGGGATGGCTAAAAATAGATTAAACAATGCTTGATTTTTATAGGAAGTAGAATCTCCAGTTGAAAGATAATTGCTAAATGCTTTCAAGAAACTTTTTGATTGAGTATTGGATGAGTCTCCAATAAGACTTTGATAAATTTGGACTCTTTGGGAGAAGGTTTCAAGCCTCCTTTTTATAATCCAAAATGTTCTAAGAGATGTGAGAATCATTTGAAGGTTTAAAATCAAAAAATCGTGAAAAAGAACACAAAAATTCTCATTATTATGAATTACATTGCGCTAATTCTAATATCTAAAATGCTACACACTTCAGTTTATTATGGCAGATTTCAGAGCACTATGTTACAAAACACCCCCCCTCCCCCTTCCTTTTTTAAGTCTATCACACTCAAAACTCCTAGATGAACAGCACTACAGATTTGCTCATTTCCACGTTATCTTCTGCTGAGTCTCTGTTTTTTAGTATTGGACTTATCTTCGGGCCAGTGTGAATAGGCTTTCTCTAGTTGTTGGGCTACTCCTCTTCCTGGACCAAGCTGCGGCTGCTTTACCAACTTGGGGTTTAAATTCAATTTGGGCTTCATGCTGTAAGTAATGATCTGTTATGTTGCAGAGTCTGCGCGATGCTGAATAACATTCACCAATAAAGGGACAAATCTCCAAAAAGAAAAAACAAAATCTTCCACTAACACCCAAATTTCTCTAAAACAAATGAAAAATAAGTGATAAATCTTATAAGCTTTGCATTCACCGATTGTTGAAAGTTATGAAATAAATTTTATGTTTGTATTTGTTGAAGAAAAATACATATTTTCACTCATTATCAAAAATTTCCATTTTTTTTGTTCAAATTCTCAATAAACATCAATGTTATCGAACAAGCATAAAATATATGAATTCCCAAGTGATGGTTTTTTTATTTCTTTTTATTTCTTTAACTTAATAATCTATATAGAGATATGCCAAAGTGAATTTCAAAAGTAAAATAAAACTTAAAAATATGTTGTATTTTTGTTGAATATTATATGCCTAAAATTGATTGTAAATTTAAGTGAATTTAGAAAAAAAGAAGTTTAGATAAAGTAAATTTAATTATTTGATTAAATCAATTTTGTAAAACTGATTAATAAATAATAAAAATATTTAAAATTTTAAACTATTCTCCTTACTGTTATAATACTTTTATATTTAAAAAGAATAAATTACGGTATAGAATTATTTATTCTAGGAATTAACTCAATAAATCAATCATTCTAATAATTATTATATTAATGTTAGATATTAATTTTAATACAATTTATGATCCAATTTAATATCAAACAAATTTAGCTTTAGCGATGGCCGTCAGAATGGGTTTGTGGAAAGGTTTGCCGTTTCCGCGCGGATCGAACTTCCAAACTAATCTGGCAGCTGCTGAAGGAGGCCGAGGCTGGCCCTTCATTTTCCAGCAGTTTACTTTCGCTCCTGAGCAGCCATTTTAGAAGTCTTGTTCTTTCCAATTGCCAGAAGCTTGATCATCTTCTTCTTTAATTCATTTTTGACTTCTCCTTCTCTTTGTCTCCCATTAAATAATTTTTATTTAGTTAATTCATTTTTATATTTTTTTGGTGGAAGGTTAGAACACGTAGCCCTTTGGCAATTGGACCCACACTAAGGGGGTGTTTGTAAATCTCTAATTATTTTGGATTTATAAATTTTGAATTTTTGAAAATTATAAAATATTTGACATGTTGCAATTTTAGAAAAAAAAAAACTTATTTTTTGTGGTCTTTAGAATCTTAAGTATATTATGTATTTAAAATTTATGATTTAAAGATTTTTTTAAAACTTTAAATTATAACTTTTAAAAAATATGTGAATTTTTTTCTTAAATAAAATAATTTTATAAATATTCGTATATTCATTTTATAGTTTTTTTAAATTGGTAACTTTTGATGCAATTTTATTACTTCAATATTATTACTACTTACATATTATGATCACCTTTATTTTATATTTAAGTAAATTCAATATTTGATTAAAATCTAAATGATACACAATTATGGATTAGGTCACATATAAAAATCACAATTATAAAATATATCTCCGTGACTTTAATTTTAAATATTTTGAGTCGTAGAAATTGTCAAGAGAACATTTCTCATTTTTTAAGTATCTAATGACATTAATGCACATAAATATCTACTTGCTAGAGAAGGATTTTGTTAAATTACCCACTAAAAATTTTTCATTTGGTCTGGATGCTAGGACTGGCAGAAGGTAACCTTTTCTTTTATCTTTCTTTTTCTTTTATTTAAGTTTTAGGTAAGGAAACACTATTTTTATCTTAATATGTGTTTTTTAGTAAAGTGAGAGTCACAAACAACATACAAATATGGAATCCAAAAGTAATAGTACAGCCCAACAGTTCTCTATAAATGTAAGGGGACGAATCTGATTGATCATCATCCAAAAACTTATAACCTGCAGGTGACCATTTCCAAAGCGTTATGTTTGAAAATTAAAATTTCTGCATTCTTCTTGCTTTTATTTCCTTTCAAGTGTACTGGTTGCAATGGTGGTCCTACACCATTCGTGTGTTTGAACTAATAGATAGAAAAAAATTCCTAGTTTTTAAATTAGAAAAAAAATGGTGAATATTTCAAATATAATATATTCTATGAAGAAAATTAGGATAATATGAACTCAAAGTGCAAGCTTGAGTTAATGTTTGAGTCCTAAGATTCGACTAGAATACAAAACTCCCTTACAGTGTAGCTTTTAGCTTATGGCTAGTCCAAACTGAATTCAAACATAGATAAATCTCAGCATGTGAATCTGGCTTTTTCTTTTTTTCATCACACTAAGTTGTTTTGATACACAAAAGTGATGCAGATGAAGAAGAAGAAAAATAAAATTTCTTATGGTCTGAAAGTACAGTTCTTATCTTGTAGCCAATGCACATTGAATTCAAACAGAGCAAAAGCTCAGCGTGTGAATTTGGCTTTTTCTGATTTTCATTACACGAAATTGTTTTTCTATACAAAAGTGACGTAGAGGGAGAAGAAGCAGCAGAAGAATTTGTATTGTAAGTATAGCTAGAAGACTGGGTTTGGCCTTGGCTGCTCTCAGGAGCATCCGGTGGAGAAAGGTATGGGGAGGCAGGCATTTTTGCAGGCAGATTGGGTAGTGGAGCCTCAAAATTAAGCACCTGAATTGCCTGCTTGATTGAGGGCCTTAGATGGTGATCTGGGTGAGCACACCAGAGCCCACCAACCATCAAGCGCTCCATTTCTTGCTCCTCAAACTGCTCACAGAGCCTCGGGTCCACAGCTTCGAGAAGCTTCCTTCTCCCATATAGCTCCCACACCCACTCCACCATCCTAATCTTACTTTCTTCCATCCTTATATCAATGGGTTTTGTTCCACAGGTTATTTCAAGTGCTACTATTCCAAAACTATACACATCTGATTCTTTACTAGCTTTCCTTGTGACTACACATGTGACTACACATTCTGGAGCCATGTACCCCATTGTTCCCGCCAGAATCATCGTTTGAGACCCCTTTTTGTGATCAACTAATCTAGCCAACCCAAAGTCACCAAGTTTGGCATTGAAGTTTGAATCTAGCATGACATTGCTTGACTTTATATCTCTGTGAACCACACATTGTTCCCATTCTTCGTGCAGGTAGAGCAGAGCTAAGGCTAAACCTTTTGCAATTTTATACCTAGTGGCCCAATTCAAGAGCGCTTTCTTCTCTTTAAAGAGGTGGGTATCTAGACTTCCATTTTCCATGAACTCGTAGACAATGAGGGGTTCTTGCTTTTCATGGCACCACCCAATGAGTTGCACCAAGTTCCTGTGCCTCAGGCGACTGATGATCTTTACTTCTGATGCGTACTCCTTTGTCCCTTGGTTTGACCCTATTGGAAATATAGGGTCAGATCCGGTCTGCCAGTGACGGGTCAACCCGACCCGTTTGATTTAAAATTAACAAAGAAGTTGTAACTTTCCATAACTCCCTAATTTTTCTATAAATATATGTTTTTATGGAGAAATGAGGGTTGAAATTTTCAATACGTATCTCTCTCTCTCTCTCTCAAAATTACTCTCTCCAAATACACATTAAAGGCAATATAACTTGTGAATCTGAAAATTTAATCTGACGTGATTTCATTTCGACAGAAAGCAAGTAGAAAAGAATTGTTTTAGAAATTTCCGCTACAAATAATCTAAGGTAAGTCAATTTTAGATTATACTCTCAGTTTTTTAAAATTAACAAATGGTATTAGAGCGACTCCGCGTGCAACCTTGAACGGTGGTGGGGTAAACCTTAGTGAGGACGCTGAGTCTTAAAGAGGGGTGTATGTGACACTTCAGAGGGAGAGTCCTTGCTGAGTCCCAAGGAGGGAAGTGTATGTGACATCCCAAAGGGGGAGTATGTGTGACACCCTTAAACAAATCCTACATCAACAAAATACGGGAGAGATTCTGGGCATATAAGAGACTAGAGATTACTACTAAACAACTTGGGCTTAAGCATTTTAGACTAGTAGTTCAGGCTCAACAAGTTACTAGGGTCAGTAGTATCAGGTCATTACTTACCTCAGATTATTTACAGCGAAAATTTCTGAAACGATTCTTTTCTACTTGCTTTCTGTCAAGATGAAATCACGTCGAATTAAATCTTCAGATTTACAAGTTATATTGCCTTTAATGTGTATTTTGGAGAGAGTAATTTTCAGAGAGAGAGAGAGAGACATACGTATTGAAAATTCCAACACTCATTTCTCCATAAAACATATATTTATAGGAAAATGAGGGAGTTATGGGAAATTACAACTTCCCTTTTAATTTAAAATCAAACGGGTCGGGTTGACCTGTTACGGGTGGACCGGATCCGAATCTATATTTTCAACATCTCCCACTCGCATATGACGTGGTCAACAAAGACCCTTGTCATCTTAACACATCACAATTTTTATATTAAGGCAAATAACTTGTGCGACCAGCAAGTATACTTGAGTATTATGTTATGTGTCGGTTAGGAGTACATAACTACTTATTTGAAAAATTTACATATATGTATATATTTATTTATAGTATCTTGCCATACCCCAGACTAATTCTTTATCACATCAATTCAAGCATTTCTGATCCCTCAATTAAAAAAAAAATGCTTGACTAACTCTCAATGTAATTTAAATTATGCCATCCATACTAAATAGATTACATAATTGGTCAACCAGTGAATACATATATGATGCTGATAAGTTTTGTCTTCCTTTTCGACAAATAACCTTTAATCTTCAATCAGCTGCTTTCCTGGACATGTTTCTTTAAACCGAATGGTTCATAGTTATAGATAACAAGCTAAAGTAGCAACACTAAATTGAAGCTTCAGATTATTGCCAAAAGTCTATAAGGGTATTTAATGAGATTTAATAATCTCAAAGGTCTCGCATAGTAGAGAAGCAGAGATTGATTCTCCAACTAACCCTTTTTGTCGTTTTTTTGCACATGTGATATGAATCACATGTTACGATATTATCTCTTTCTTTAAGAGAACGCATGTTAATATAAAGTTTAACATCGTACAGATTTAAGTTTAAACACACATCATTGTTTAACCTGAGTTCTTCTCACTTTCTAACCTTATCAAGAACTCATATCTGGCTTCTATAATAGATTAAGTAAATGTATCACATAAACATTTACTTCGATCATTATGATTGAAAATGATCTTATCTTGACTCTCTTCCATTTATCAAGGCGATGATTCTATTTTGACCCAATAAATAGACTATATGTGACTCAAAATCATCTAATCTCTTCGTACACTTAGTATTAGAGTCGTTTGTCCATGCAAGAGAACCAATCTTAAAGCCTGTTGACATGCTTTTTATGTACTCATGAACACAATTTAAATATATATGTGTGTGCTTTAAATAATCATGGCATATCTAAACAAATTCTCTTTTCATAAAGAAAAATTCGTATAATTTGTTCACAAGTACATTATATTCTTCATAAGTCCATAGATCTAACATGACTTACATATACATCACGGACTAATGGCTTAGTAAAAGGATCAGCTAACATTTGATTAGTGGAGACATATTATAATGTTACTTCATTTCTAGCAATAATATTTCTCACATATTGATAACGAATATCAATATGCTTAGATTTACTGTGATATTTCGGATCCTTTAAATAAGCCAACGTAGCTTGATTATCACAGTAAATTAGAATAGGTCTCCCACTATCATCAGCATTACTTAAATGTTCTAAGAATCTTTTTAGCCAAACAGCTTCTTGTATTGCTGATGAACATATTACAAACTCAGCTTCCATCATGGAAAGGGCTATGTAGTTTTGTTTCTTACTATACTAACTAATGGCTCCACTATTTAGCAAAAACATATGACCAGAAGTAAATTTCCTCTCATTTGGATCTCTAGCCCAATCAGCATTTGAGTATCCTATTAACTTTGATTTTGGTCCCTGATAACATAAGCAATAATCTACTATGCCTTTAAGATACCTTAGTATCCTCTTTACTGCTTTCCAATGATGATTTCTAGGATTAGATTGAAAACGGGTCACCAAGCCTGTGGTATAGCAGATGTCCGGTCTAGTACACACTATAGTGTCTATTAAACTACCTACAGCACTGGCATAAGGCTTTTTAGCCATTTTTTCTTTCTGTTAAAGAGTCTCAGGACACATGCTATTACATAAGATTAGCAACTTGGGTATCGAATAGTTTACAATCTTTCATTCCAAATTGTTCTAAAATCTTTTTAATATAAGATTTTGGTGATAAGGCTATTAGCCTTTTCGAGCGATTTCGTATTATCCCGACCCACAGAATGAAAGATGCTTCTCCCATGTCTTTCATTTCAAATTGAGAAGACAACCATTCTTTACTTTCAATACTAAAGTGTTTATCATTTCTGGCTATTAGAATGTCATCCACAAATAATGACATTATAACAAACTTTCCTTTACCTCTTTTAACATAGACACAATGGTCTTTGTTAATTATTTTAAAGTCATACACAATGATTGCGTTGTGGAATTTTATATTCCACGGTCTTGATGCTTGCTTAAGGCCATAAATTTATTTCTTCAATTTGCATACTTTGTGCTCTTGACCTTAATAATGAAACCTACAGGTTGTGCCATGTAGATTTCTTCATCAAGATCGCCATTAAGGAAAGCTATTTTTACATCCATTTGATATAATTCTAAATCAAACTATGCCACCAAGGTAAGAATTAATCGTATGGATGCAAACTGAACTACTGGGGAGAAAGTTTCTTAATAGTCTATACCATCTTCTTGAGTATATCCTTTAGCAACAAGTCTGGCTTTATATCTTTTTATCGAGTCATCAGCTTTACGCTTGATTTTGAGAACCCATTTTTTCCCCATAGCTATTGAGGGGCTCTGATATCATTTGTTAATTTTAGAGAACTGAGAGTATAATCTGAAATTGACTTACCTCAAATTATTTGCAGCGAAAATTTTTGAAACAGTTCTTTTCTACTTGCTTTTTGTTGAGATGAAATCACGTTGGATTAAATCTTCAGATTCAGAAGTTATATTGCCTTTGATGTGTATTTTGGAGAGAGTAATTTTGAGAGAGAGAAAGAGATACATATTGAAAATTCCAACACTCATTTCTCCATAAAACATATATTTATAGGAAAATGAGGGAGTTATGAGAAGTTACAACTTCCTTTTTAATTTAAAATCAAACAGGTCGGGTTGACCCGTTACGGGTGGACCGGATCCGACCCTATATTTCCAACATCTCCCACTTGTACATGACGTGGTCAACTCATCTTAACATTACGATTTTCATATTAAGGCAAATAACTTGTACGACCAGTAAGTATACTTGAGTATTCTGTTATGTATCGGTTAGGAGTACATAAATATCTATTTGGGCTTCAAAACCGAGAAGCCGAGAGTGGGTTTAAAAAAAATATTGAATTTGTAATTTTCTATTTTCATGAAATATACAATAAATAGGCCAAAACTTCAAAAAATCAAAGAAAATCATACAATTGTCTATTTTCAACATGTGATATATCAAATCGAACGTCTTTCCGAACTTTATCCAACAGTAAAAAGTGCATGTCATAATTTTGAACGCACAAGAAGAAATGAATTTTTGAAGATTATGCCTAATTTATGAACAAAAATTCATAACTTTTTGTATACTCAATAGAAAATTCTGAGACCACCATTGGATTCAGAAGGGTCGAAAATGGGGGGGTAGCCAAAACCAAAATTTCTAAAAATAGTTTGAAGATGGAGGGTGAATCACACACGCCAAGAGAGGTGAGTGTGGGTAGTTACTGCCAGTAACCGCCACGTCTGACATG